GTGCTGATCTGGTCTCTCCCTCAGAGAAGAGATAAAAGTCTCCATGCTTCACATCAGAGCACAAGGAAGTTCGTTATGTTCTTAACATCAATATCAGAAACCCCAAATTCTACCTAGAGATTAGAAACACAACTTTTTATTCGTGTGGTGACAACACAGTAATGGAGTTTAAGTAAGTCCTCTGCTTTTGGTGATGGGAAAACACAGATTGCCCAGCTGTCTAAGCATTGGCCTCAGCTATCAGAGGCTCACAAGTATGGGAAAATAATACTCTCTCCTTAATAGTAAGGCAGGCCTATTCTGGAATGGAAAGAAGTCTTTTCCTTTACACTCTCCCCCCCCCCATTTTTTTAAAGACAGAGTCTTATCATAATCCATAACTGGCCTCAAACTCAAAACAATTGCCATGTCTCAGCCTCCTGAGTACTGAGGTTAAAGGCATGGACCACCACATCAGCTAAAAATTTTAGTCTTAGCTAAAGAGTTTTCTTTTTTCCTTAATGTAGACTTAGGTTTTTTTTTTTTATTTTTTTGTTTTTTCTGGAAAGCTTTTCTGTGTATTTCTTTATGGCTCTTGTGAAAAGACTAGGAAGATTCTAGCGTGCTCATCCTTGTGACATCTGTATCATTGCAACTTGTAACTGTCACTTTTTCAAGGGCAAGTTTTGAAAATATCTCGTGGTGTCATTCTTGGCGGGTGAGCAGGGAGTCAGGAGGCATGATTTACCATTTCTAGAATGGCCACGCTGAACCAGACCCAGACCCAGGGTCTCCGGCACTGCTGCCAAGCGGCTCGTGCACAGGCCAGTTGCCTTTCATGGAAGCATTCTCAGACTTAGCGGCATTCTCCAAGATTCAGGGAGTTCTCCAAATACATCATTTCCTTAGACGGCTTTCTATTTTCAATCACAGTACCTCTGGGGTGACAAGTTCAGTGGGTTCAATGCTCACTTTTTAAACATTTTGATCCTCTGTTTCTAATAAAATGACTCTTTAAAAATTCAAGAGGGTGAGCTCAAGACAGCTCCATAATACAGTGCTTGCCTAATGTATGCAAGGTCTTTGGTTCTATCCCCAGTAAGGGGGAAAAAATCAAAGAGGTGTTCTGTAGTGTCAGCATTTTAGCAAACCTTAAGCTTAGTGAAAGCTATGTACTGTTTAAATATGTCTGACTTTCCTCACTGCTACCCAAATCTTCCTTCCTTCGGTTTTCCAAAACTGAATGACTCAGAGGGGAAGTTAGGGCCCTTTTCCTTTCCTGGGGATGTCTGGTGCAGTCACACTTGAATGTTGCCTCATACTATCCATAACTGTTCAGAGTCAAGTTTGAGTCCTTATCTGCAGCTTTGAAAACGTTTGTTTTTAGGGATAATGGTTTGACCCTCTCTCAAACCCACTTTCTACATCTCTAACCCAGGAAGCAGTAGTCATCTCTCTCTGCACTAAGCATCCCTTTCAGCTAAGTCTAAGCATGCCTTAACTACTCCAGCAATATTTGCATTACCGTACATCAGGGAGTCACCCTAGCCCCGCCCAATAGTCCTGGGGCAGGTACCAATTATAGGGAGTCACCCTAGCCCCGCCCAATAGTCCTGGGGCAGGTACCAGGTGGACCTGGGGACTCGCCCATAAGGGCGGGGTGAAGGAAAGCCGGGATGACGTAAAGGGGGCTTCTTAAAGGACTGCACGTGGGGACGGGGCTCTCTCTTTGTTCTGACCGCGCTGGCTGGGTTCTTAACCTAGCTCTGGCCTGTGTTTCACCCGGCTGTGCTTGGAAATAAAGAGACCTTAATCCAATAACTCTCTGGGAAGCAGTCAGACATGCAGGCCTCTGGTTCTAGAGGGTGGAACTCTAGCCCAGGTAGCCAGCCTCCCCCTGGGGTTGCAGTGCTTAGCCCATGCCCTGAATCTCAGCAGTGACCAGTCTCTGCTAGATGGCTGCCTCCTTTGCTTGCATGCTGTCTGTTGAAACCTCATCCTGAAGACATTCAGCTCTATCTTCCTGTACACTCACCCTTCAGGGATAACTTGAGAGAAAGGTGTCCTCTTGTATTCCTTCCTGCTCCTTCTGTCTGCAAGGTCTCTGTTCTCCCAGACATACAGGGGAACATTGGATTCTCTCTTGTCCGTCTTGGCTGTTTTGATACCTCACCCTTTCTCAGCAGTATTCTTAGTCAAGTGCAAAAGAAATGGAACTAAAAGCTCTGTAGGACATCTAGGCCTGAGGCACATTTCCAGAAACCATCTTGGGGTACGGGTGGTAAGAGGAGATATGGAGGCTCTCAAAGGAGGAATTCTGCTTAATTGGCTTCGTGGTACTAAAGCAGCCTAGAGACTTTTCAAGGCCCCTCCCTTCTCAGATAAGCAGATTCCATTTCCCTTGAACCCTTCTGTGGACATACTTGGAAAAGTAGCATGTTCCAACACAGCCCTGCAGCTATTTCCCTCACAGGGCCAGCTGCATGCCTACCATGCAAAAGCAGATGCACCCTAGAGATAGCCCAGTTTTCATGTCCAGTCACCCGGTAGTTAAGCGCTCTATGCCTGGAGCCTGGGCAACCAGTGCTTTGTACCAGCATTCCTCCTACCCTGACCATTCTTGAAAATCATTGAAGAAGAGGGCAGAGGTTGGCTGTCTTTCATCCTTAATGGAGAACCAAGACTGAAACCATCCTTCCTATGACCCAGAGCGGCACTGGCAGCCTCCTGGTCTCCAGAGGGAGATGATCTTTTCACACTTTGACATGAAAAGTTCTCATTTGAGAACTAGGTACCCAAAAGGTTCTCAGGAAATATGACAGCAAAGGGGGGCAATGAATAAATCTGTAAAGACAAGCAGCCAGTTGGAAAAGAAAACTGTTAGTGCCCAAATGTCAGGAAACTGACTGAGAGAAAATGATCATGGGTCGAAGGCCAGCATGGGCTACAGAATGAGTTAGGAGACTACCTAGCAAAAGTCTTATCTGTGAAGTTAAACCAGAACAAACAAAACAGACTGTTGGAGAACTAGACTGGTATCTAAGCCTCCTGCCTGTGTTCAGGTTTTGATCTCACTGTCCACTGATGTCTTGAGACAACTGTCAGCAGAGGTAGACACATGCCATACAGTCGAGAAAAAGAAGGTCTCCTCAGGTGTGGCCTTGTCTTTCTCACAGTGCCTGTGTCCCTGCTTGACCTTTTCCTCAGAAGGGAGACATCAGTGGAGCCTCCACAGTTGAGCTGCCCACTTGCCATGTTTGACTTTATATCTTGTTTTGGTTACATGCTCACTGTCATTCTTTCATGTTAGATACTGGTTCAGGGATTTCAGTCTTGGTGAGAATGACCGGGCCTATGCTGTAAGAGCCCTTCCCATGTAGTGCTGCACGGCTCTTTCACCCCTGCTATCTCAGCACCGCTGACTGGCTCAATAGTGCAAAAAGCTCCATAATCTCCAGAAAGAGATTATTAATGCTTAACAAAAGAATGTTGGTGGCTGGAGAGATGGCTCAACAGTTAAGATCACTTGTTGCTCTTTCTTTTTTTTTTTGTTTTTTGTTTTTTGTTTTTTGTTTTGTTTTGTTTTGTTTTTCAAGACAGGGTTTCCCTTGTGGCTTTGGAGGCTGTCCTGGAACTAGCTCTTGTAGACCAGGCTAGTCTTGAACTCACAGTGATCCACCTGCCTCTGCCTCCCGAGTGCTGGGATTAAAGGCAAGAGCCACCACCGCCTGGATACTTGTTGCTCTTTCAAAGGACCTGGGTTCAGTTCCTAGCACCCACATGGTGGCTCACAACCATCCATAACTCCAGTTCTAGGAAATCCAGTGCCCTCTTCTGACTTCCAAGGATACACATGGTAGGATGCATACTTGCAGGGAGAGCACTCATACATATTAATAAATAAATGTAAAAATCATTTTAAAGAATATTGCTGACTTTAAAATGAATATGGTCTTTTTAACTTTAGAATGGATTTTAAAAATCTTCCTAGAATTTTGATAGAATTATTATTTTTTGAGACGGAGTTTATCTGTCAGGGTTCTCTATATAACAGAACTGATGAGGTGAAATGTGTTCCCACTGCCACTTCCTGGGGCTGGGATGTTCTCAGTTGTTCCCTTCATGAAGAAATCTATGTGTATTTATTCCCAAATGCATATTTAAGGACCTGAAGTAAAATTGCAGCAATTGAGTTGGGAGGGTCATGGAGGATCTGTAGAAACATAGTCTGCTCCTCCTTTTAGCCCACAGAGCTACTGTTATCCCCACTGAGGGCTCATTTGCTCCTGGGCTCAGGCAGCTTCAAAGGAGCAGTTCACAGGGCACTTGCCTGCAGGGTGTGGTCAGGCTGGCCCCTGAGGTCTTGCAGGATCTACCCTCATCTAGCCTCATCCAGCTTCATCCCTGACAGCTCTCAGCCTGAAAGAATGGCTTCTTATCTGCTTGCTTTCTCCCTGGGGCCTGGATGGATGCCAGAGACTCTTAAAGGGACAGTTGGAAAGCCTTTTTTTTACAGACCTGCCCTTTTCAACAAGTAACAGCTGCCCTGCTGCTGGAATCCTTGCTTAATGAGCATCCACCATCACTGGGTACATTTTCTTCAAGAGAACCACCCACCCTTCATCATCTTTGCCACCCCAAGAGTGTCCTGTAATTCAAAACTGCCATCTTCCCACATGCCTTTGTACCACAGGAAACCTGAGCAGTTGTAGAGACTTGCTGAACCAGTCTCCTCCTACATCCCTCCATTGACAGCTACATATAACTTCCTGTCAGCTGAAGGGAAAAGTGGAGACAGCTTGTGTCATTTGTGTCATAGCCTGTGTTTGTCTGTCAGGGCAGCCATTATCAAATACCATATATCAGCTGGAGACATGGCTTCATTTGTTGTTCTTCCAGACAACTCGAGTTCAAGTTCCCAGCACCTACATGTGGCTCATGACCATCTGTAACTCCAGTTCCAGGGGTTGTGATGCCCTCTTCTTAACTCCATAGGCACCAGGCTTACACACTGTATACATAAATACATGTAGGCATACCATTCATACACATAAAATAACTAAATCTAAAGAAAATTTAAATACTATACAACAGAAATTTATTTGTCAACAGTCCTTGAGGCTGTAGAATTGAAGATCAAGATGCTAGCCAAGGTAACTCTGCCAAGGGTTTTCTTCCTGGCTTTCAGAGGGCTTCCTTTTCCAGTAAGAATGCCAGTTCTGTTGTAAAGATTCCACTCTTAGCAAATTACCTAAACCTTATTATCTCCTAAGGCCCAGTCCTCTGACACTAGATTCTATCATTTTGGAAATCAGGGGGCCAACATGTGGATTTGGGGAAGGGATACAAGCATAGAGTTTGAAAAGTATACAAACTGAGTTCTAGCCATATGCTAGTCATCACCATGAGGCAGGTCTGAGGGGCACCCATGACATTGGGAAAGCCACATCACAGGGTTTTTTTGAGGATGCCAGGTCACCTCTGGTTCTCGGTTGTCCTCTTTGATGTCTGTTCCTACTTGTCACTCATTCCTATTTATCTGCACATGCCCTTTCTTTTCTCTTAGTTGGGAGGCCCCACCCCACCCTCCAGCGGGCAGATGTATGATGGTTACATGTACAGGAAAAACGGTGACACTCTGTTGTGAAGGATGCAAGACATTTGGATAGTGAGGTGTGCCCTGGAAGATCCAGGAACCCGAGGGCTGACACACCAGCCACACTGAAGGTCCTCACTAGCCTGTCCCTGTGGCGTCTATATTCTCTGCTATGGGCACATTGCACACACTGAGACAACCAGCACACATCCAAACACTTGCCAGCACACAAGAAAGGAACTCTAAAAGGATGGAAAAAAACACGTTTTGTTCTTGCACAAAATTTTCCCTGTTGAAAGAAAATCAGTTTGTTTTGTAATGTGTCTGACTTGTGAAGTTCAATTACTGACCCAAGTTTGGAGGCTACTAAGTAACTAAGCCTTGATCTGCCTTCCTCTTCCCCATTCTCTTTCCTGAACTGAGTGGCAGCCAAATCTGGGACATTGGCTTTCTTTTACATGAAGAGTGAGTATGTGTTTAGTAATGAAACCCTGGAAGGATCTAGAATGATGCATTAATCTTTTCGATTTTCCTTGTTTTATCACCAAGAAAACAGCTGCAGATGGTAAAAGGCAGGAGATCATTGTTCTGGATTCCAAGAGGAGCAATGCTATCAACATTGGCCTGACGGTGCTGCTCCAAGGACGATCAAGATAGCCATTTTGAACTTTGATGAGTATGCCTTAAACAAAGAAGGGATTGAGGTAAGACAAGTTCTTTGAAGAATTGTTAGTGTTGTGAAATGTGCATCATATTACAGCATTGAATATTATTTTGGATGGTTTGTAACTTTCTTTACTCAACTGGACTCTGAAAGATGTTAGTGATTCTTAGATGTTTGTTCTGGGATGGGGAAACAAGTCACTTTGCCTGTGAAGTTAGGTGATCTTGGCTTGCTTATGGGCCTCAACCCCAATCAAACATTGCTTACCTCAGTTTGGAAAAAGTTCTACATGTCCTGCATATGAGGATGCTTAGGTCTTCTTCCATGTCATGTCACATATGTCTAGGAACACTTATAATTACAATCTTTCATTAGGTGCTGACGTCCACATAAAGGACATTGTTTTGATCTTATAATAAGTAGTAATTTGGGGCCAGGCGTTGGTGGCACATGCCTTTAATCCCAGCACTCGGGACGCAGAGGCAGGCAGATCTCTGTGAGTTCGAGGCCAGCCTGGTCTCCAGAGCCAGTGACAGGATAGGCTCCAAAGCTACACAGAGAAACCCTCTCTGGGAAAAAAAAAAGAAGTAGTAGTAATTTGGGACTAGGGATGTGGCCTACTTACCATGCACAAATCCCAGTTTGATCCCTAGCACTGCATAAGGTGGGTGTGATGGCACTAGCATGTAGTCTCAGTGCTTGGTAAATGGAGGCACAAGGACTAGAAAGGTACAGGTTCATCCTCAGTTGTATAGGGACTTTGAGGCCAGCTTGGGTTATATGAGACCATGTGTTAGAAACAAAAACAAACCAGAGATACGTTTTGTTGGATTTTTGTGGGGGCAGGGGTTGAGATAGAGTCTCTCTGTGTAGCTCTGGCTACTCACTCTGTAGATCAGACTTACTTTGAATTTACAAAGACCTGCCTACCTCTGTCTCCCAAGTGCTGGGATTAAAGGTGTGCACCACCACCACCCAGCAGAAGTTGGATCATCTTGAGAACATAGCAAGCCAACTGATGCTTTCATGGTTGCTGATCTGTTAAAGGTAGAGGAAGATGAGAGGTAGATAGACTAGTGGTTTTGAGCCACCTGATTTGAACAACATTGTTACTATGGCAGCAATAGGACACATAACTAATGTACTAGATGCTAGTGGTACCTACTCTCTTCCACATTGACCCACACCCAGAAATGTCTCCACACACTGTTAACTTCCCTGAGGAAGTGAAAGCATTCCAGCCAAGAACCCCTCATTGAAGCTACCTCCATAACCTAGGACTGTGCATATCCCTCAGCTGTTCTCAGGCATAGCTGTGAAGACCATGGAACAAGACCTTTTGTAGAATATGAAATGCATGATTCTCTGTCATCTCTTCATGATCATTGATCCCAGACAACTGAGGGGTATAGAAGATCTACACTCTGTGTGCTAGGAAGGACCCAAAGCTTGTTCTGGACTCTTGTTGTTCAAGAGTTAAAATGAGACTGAGAAGAAAAAGCAGTTGTCAACCTACAGACCCTTGCTAATAAGATTTGCAGCTAATGCCCACAGGCCTTCAGCCAGACTGTCTGCTTCCTGGATACACACATTATGTCACGACATCGTAGCTTCATAAGGCCATTGGAAAGCTCTGTGTACCAAAACACAATTAGGATGTATTAAATGACATCCTGTGCCATTGCCTAGCAACTCACAACATGTATCTGGATTTGTCATACAAACCTGAGTAATTAACTGCATTAAGGAAGTGGCTTTCAGAAGAGTATTAAACTGTAGGAAGTTATTTTAGGGTCATCTCTAGAGAGCATCTATAATGTTTTTTTTCCCAGTAAGATGCATGGAATGATCACAAGTGGAAGTGAGAAGACATTACTTCATTACTTCTTTTTCTTACTTCACTTTTTTTTTTATTTCTTAGAGTTTAGTCCACTTAAAAGGCAGTACAATACAGTTGTCTTTAATGACATTTAACTTGTCTCACTTTGGCTGTCAAACCCAGCATCGTTCTAGAAGCAGAAATTTCCTTTAACCATTTGTACCACAGTATAATTCCAAGGTGTTGCTATCGCATAAGGCCCATCCTTAGCTGGCTTCATGGGTGCTGGGCATGGGTGAGTCTGCTCATGAACTGCGTAGCTGGCTCAGGGAACCAGAATGCTCGGAACATGGGACACAGCTGTTCCCTTAGTGTTTGCATCTGTAGGTGAGTGTCCATAGATGGTGGAGTTCCTACGAGGACAGGAGAGCATCCCTTAGTAGTTCTGTAACTCTGCTTAGGAGAGCTTCAACCTGTCCTTCAGCAAGTCATCCCTTATATGTTGGGCACAATAACCTCTTGCCCCAATGTGCTGCCTCTGTGTGCTCATGAGAATGGCAGGACATGCCCTCAGAGTCCTTCAAGGGGTTGATTTAAGTTGATGTATGAGAGTGAGTGCAGGGGTAGAACCCATTTTCTCAGAATACACAAACTGTTAACACACTACCCCCAGAAAAACTTTTCCCAAGCCCCTAATGCTGTACCCAAATCCTTGTAGTATATTCTTCATCACCATGGGAAGGGTTCAGTCAAAAACAAGTAAAACCATTACTGCTGTGTCTCATCTGCAGGAAAGTGAAATGGCCAAATCCAAACTAGCATTTAGGTCCACAATAAAGGATATATTTGCATTGTTTTTCTTTGGCCAGTACCTTCTGTTACAAAACAAATATAGTTGTAGTAATACAGGGACAGTGTCTAGAACAGTGGTTTGCAATCTGTGGGTCGTGACCCCATTGGCAAACCTCTATATTCAAAAATATTTACATTATGATTCAAAACAGTAGCAAAATTACAGTTGTGGGGTAACAACAAAAATAACTATGGTTGCAGGGAGGTGGGTCACCACAATATAAAGAACTGTATTAAATGATTGCAGCATTAGAAAGGTTGAGAACCACTGGTCTAGAAGGAGTTAAAAAATAAAACAATAAAACCAATTGAGTTATTATGTCTTGGTCTTGTTGGATGATTCTTTCCCTACAAAACCAAGTGGTAATTCAAAATATCATCAGAGAAACTACTGATGTGGCAAGAGACTGACTTAAACCCTGCTTGAATCATGTGTATCATCCTAGTGGAGCAAAGGACCACCAGCTCACAAGAGGTGTCTCTGACCTACTGACTTGCTGTCTGTAGTCTCTTCATTGACAGTGATTCAAGGAGTAAGAAAGCAAACTAGCAGTTGGTAAACTCAGAATCATCCGTGGTGAAGAAATGGTTCGAATTAGAGAAGTAAAAAGCAGAGGAAACATATTTAGGACAAAGGGACAAAACTTGTAGGGACATGTCTCCTGAAGGCTGTTAAAGGTGTTGGCAAGCTTTGTTTTCAAATTCCTGTCCTGCCTAGACAATTTAAGCATTGTGGAAATTAAAGTACACTTTTATGCTAAGTACTTTAAAAACTAATTGAGTTCCAACCATAGATGTTTTCAAAGAATGTCATCTGTTTGAACTGTTTGGATAAGTGTTTTTTAAACACTATCTTTATGGATAGTGTGACCTAGAGAGTTTTGGCTAAATCCCTTTGATAATCAAATTCTGACCACATAGCCTCATCCTGAGCCACGGTGAGGAACAACTTGGAAGGAGATGGGTCTGAATGTTTGCCAGGTGTCACCTTCTACAGCCTCACTCTGACTGCGATTTAGAATACGTATCTTCAATATAACTGTACTTCTGACGGGCTGAGGCCAGCCCGCCCTGCCTGTTATCACTCATCAAGTTCAGGGCTGTTTCTTCCCAGATACACCCAGCTGCACCATTGTGTTAACGTACATATTTAATAGCTACTATTAATTTTGTAGTCATGATTTTTTAAAACTTTGGAGTCAATATAATGTTAATTATTTTGGCAGGCGGCTCTAGTGTTTTAAAAATGTATCTGAATCCCTTCATTCTGGATTGAGACAGTCCCATCTCCATGCTGCCCTTCTGTAGTCACAGCCCCTGGCAGGCAGAGATACATTTTCTATCACTGTGGTTTTCTGTTTTTGAGACTGTATGGAATCTCACAGTATAGAGCCTGTGGAGATCGGCTTCTTTCATGCAACATGACAGACAACATTGAGATTTATCAGAGTCTCATAGATTCCAGAGCATCTTAATGTTACCACAGAGCACTAGTCCATTTTGGGGATGTACCACAATTAGTTTACCTGTTTATACACTAAAAACATTTAACTTGTCACAGACTTGGGCCGTTATGAAAAAAGCAATTGCAAATATTTTAATAGTTTCCTGTGACTCAGTTTTCATTTCTCTAGAGTACATACCCAGAAATGAAATGGCAAGGCCATAGGGGAACATCTATGTTGATAAATTACAGTTTATGTTTTCACTCTTTTTACAGTGAAAAAAATTAACTAGGATATAGTTTACTTTATCTTCTTATTGGGGATTTTTTTGTCTACCATGAGTCACAAATATTTTCTCTTGCTTCTTGCCAAATTTTTTATGATATTACATTTCCATGATACATTTTGCGTTTCTTTATGTAGAAAGAAGAATTATGTTGAGGTTAATTTTTAATATGAAATATAGTTGTTTCAACACCACTCATTGGAAATTCTATCCAATAATCTTTGACTTTTGTTAAAATTAATGGACCATATTTGTGTGGCCCATTTCTGTACTGCTCTGCCCTGTTGATCAAACACACACACACACACACACACACACACACACACACACACACACACACACACTCCTTTTGCTAATTACTGTGATTTTATAGTTCAGGTTGAGCAGAGTTATCCTTCCAAGGTCCCCTTTTACAATTCACCATCGTTGTCCCATTTCTTCTTCCTCACTACATAGCTTCTAGAACCATCTTTCTGTTTCTACACAAAATCATGTTGGTCTTTTGGTTGGAACTGAGTTAAACCTGTAGATCAGTCTGGTGAGACAGCATCCTGACTATAATCTCAGCCGATAAACATGGTATTCCACTCCAATGATTTAGATCTTCTATGGTGATTTTCATTAGCATTTTAAAATTTCCAACATATATAGAGCTTATAATTTATTTATTAGATTTGTCACTTGTATACTTCATCATAAATAACACCTTGAAATTTTCTCATTACTATGTAACAATAAAGTAGGTTTTATGTATTGGCCATGTGTCATGAAATGTTGCTAAACTCACTTTTGTGTTTTAGAAACATTTTTGTAGGTGTTTATAATTCTTTACAGAGACTATCATAGCTCTTGTGTTCTCTCTCTCTCTCTCTCTCTCTCTCTCTCTCTCTCTGTGTGTGTGTGTGTGTGTGTGTGTGTGTGTGTGTGTGTGTGTATGTGTGGAGGGAAGGAAAGGGTTTCCATGCAGTGTTAAAATAGGAATAATGAGGATAGGTAAGAATTTTTTATACCCACAAGTGAAAGTAGTATTGTCAGTCAGCTGTGTATCTGTTTGCTAATCAGTGTTTTTTCTCCATTTTTTATTTAAATTAGAAACAAGATTATTTTACATGTCAATCCCATGTAAAATACCCTCCTCCCCTGCCACCCCCCAACTAACACCCTACCTATCCCATACCATTTCTGCTCCCCAGGGAGGGTGAGGCCTTCCAGAGGGGGGTCTTCAGAGTCTGTCATATCTTTTGGAATAGGGCCGTGGCCATCCCACTTGTGTCTAGGCTCAGGGAGTATCCCTCTTTGTGGAATGGGCTCCCAAAGTCCATTCCTATGCTAGAGGTAAGTACTGATCTACTACAAAAGGTCCTGTAGATTTCTGAAGTCTCCTCACTGACACCCATGTTCATGGGGCCTAGATCAATCCCATGCTGGTTTCCCAGCTATCAGTCTGGGAAACAAGAGTTCCCCATGTTCAGGTCAGCTGTTTCTGTGGGTTTCACCAGCCTGGTCTTGACCTCTTTGCTCATCACTCCTCCTCCTCGGCAATTGGATTCCAGTTCAGTTCAGTGTTTAGCTGTGGGTGTCTGCTTCTACTTCCACCAGCTGCTGGGTGAAGTCTATAGGATGGCATATAAGTCAGTCATCAATCTCATTACCAGGGGAGGGCATTTAAGGTAGCCTCTCCTCTGTTGCTTAGATTATAGATCTACAACAATGACACCAACTAACAATCTAAGAAATTTTTTTGCTCTTAAAAATGTAATGAATTAAGCATTTGAGCCTGAAAGAATCAATCTGATTCTAACATCCTTTGTCCTCTTGGCATTCCACAACTGGCCTTTACAGTCAGATTTGTGTTTGGTATTAAAGTATTGTTTCCCTATGAGTTTTAGTTAAAATTTATAATTAATACAGAAAAGCCAAACTGACTTCTTTGTGAATGTTTCATTTTTGTGATCTATTAATTAAGTTCATGAGATGTCAACAAAGCATGCTTTCTTGACACGTGTTGCTGTATCTCCTCAGGAGCAGGAAGCTATTCTCCTTCTAGTCTGTCTTCTTATTGTCACTTATCACCCCCTGTCCTTGCCTGGAATGCCCTTTATACCCTAGAAGGCCTGGAGCAGGATATTTAAAAATTTACAGGTTTTTATAATATAACACCTGCCTATTAATAAAAACAATGTTTTGAACTATGTGTTTGGGAAATTATAACAGAAATTTGAAAACACGGCAGGAGCGGAGTCTATTACTAACAAAGAATGATTACATTACCCTGTCTTTCTAGAAAATTCTGACCATGATTCCAACTGAAGAGGAGAAGCAGAAAATCCAGGAAGCTCAGCTGGCCAACCCTGACGTGCCCCTGGGCAGTGCTGAGCAGTTCCTCCTCACACTGTCCTCCATCAGCGAGCTTTCAGCTCCTCCACCTCTGGGCATTCAAAATGGATTATGAGACCACAGAAAAGGTAGGCAGGAACATCTGCATCCCAGTGTGGAGGCCAATGGTTTTACAACTGGTGACTATTAAGCTGGTGAAGCCTCCTTCTTGACACAGAATGTGGAGGGTGAGCCAATGGTGATTGTGTGATAGCTCACACTGGGTGGTGTGAATTTCATCTGTACTGGGTAATGACTACCTTCCTCTTATAGCCTCAGATGCCTGACTGTAGGCAGCAAACAAGCGTTTAGTCATCAAAAGTTATCAGACTGTGTTTTCACTGTAGATAACACAGAAAGGCAGAATGTGGAAGAAAATAAAACTTTCACCCTTTCACCTGATGATGATAGCCTAAACCAGGGCAGTTGGCAGCTCCATGGACACTATTGAGAGAATATTAGTAGGTACTTTTCTCATTATTGTGAGAGAGTTTTGTTTGGGGATCACAGTTTCAGAGGGCAAAGGCCTTCATGAAGTGAAAGTCTGTCCAGCTCCATGCATGGTAGCAGTAGCTTGAGGCAGCAGACAGAAAACTAAATTATACAAGAACTAAAAAGCCAGACACTGTAGTTAGTGTGTGTCTGTAACCTCAGTGCTCCTGTGGTAAGATGGGGGTGGACACAGGAGAATCCCTGGAAGCTTGCAGGGGCAGACACCTGACAGAGGTTCTCCTCTAACTCACATACATGTGTATATTTAGACACACACACACACACACACACACACACACACACATAGAGGTGAGGGCGTGGTTACTTGGGAAAGGTACTGAGACCCCTCTTAAGTAGCAAGTGGACGACATAGGCATCCTTCCTGCCCTGGGTGTGTTGTGTGACTTCCCTAGGGAGCTGTGAGCGAATGTCTGTCTACCCCAGATAGCAACAGCAGACCAAAGAAGTCTTCCACCCAAGCCTAACTCAGTGAACCAGAGTTTATCAGGGTTATTTATATGAAAGCAGATCAGGTTTACTTATAATAACATAGATAGGGGCTGGATATGGCTCAGCAGTTAAAAGCACTGGCTGCTCTTTCAGAGACCTAGGTTCAATTCCCAGCACCCACACAGCAGCTCACAACTGTCTATAATTCCAGTGCTAGGGGATCTGACACCTTCATACCAATGCACATAAAATAAAGTTAAGTAATTAAAAAAAAAAGAACACAGATAACTCAGAGGGAGCTATAGCACCCTGAAGCCCATCCCTACATGGGCATTCCTGGAGTGCCCTGCCCAACACCAATTGCAGGAAGCTAGAAGAGTATCTTTTCACCCCGAAGTTGTTAGTACTTATGTAACTTAGGAGTGTTTAAGGACTTTCCTGAGACTCGTAAGTTTTGGTAGCTTCCTGAGTCCCTGTTAGGGGTAGAATTTTGATTTGGGAGACATCACACAACAGGTCAGTGGAATGCTTTTGTGAGCCGAATAGCTGTAAGGGGCTTAGTACCAGAGGAGGTGGAAACTGGAGCCCAGAGGAGTTACCATGCTGCTGTACTGGATAACAGCTATACAACAGGGAGTTTGGGAGGTTTGAGGGAAAATTAAAAGGTGAGCATTAATAATACAAAAATTTGAAACCTTAATGCACAAAAATCCAAAGCTTTTTAAGTGCCAAAATGATGCTACAGTGAAAATTTCAGGCCTGACCTTATGTGACATGTCATAGATGAAGCAAAATCACATTAAAAGTATTTTCAAATATTATATGAAATTACCTTCTGGCTGTGTTGTAAGGGGTGTGCTATGACATGAGTAAATTTCATCCTTATACTTGGATCCCATCTCTGGGATATCTTATGTATATTCAAATATTTCAACATATGAAACACTTCCTGCTCCTATGCATTTTGAATAAGGGACCCTAACCCATTCTACATCTGAACTCATGGAATCAAGCAGGAATGAAGACACCCCTAGGACTGCTGTGTGACTGGTGTAACTCCATTGTGAGACCATTTGGCACACTTAGGTGATTTTAGCAAAGTGAGATGACACTGGAGGAAATGATGGGTGACTAGCTGTGGTAAGGGACTAGCAGGGCAAGGCTACTGGAGAGACTATAGTTGAACTCCTCATGTGGGGATCCAGGCAAGTGAAGGACTTCATAGATTGAGGCCAAAATGAGGCTACAAGGCAGGTCAAGTGTCTGAGGGGGTGAGAATAACAAGCACTGTGGCTCTCAAATGTGCCCAATCTAAAGCCCAAAGACTTTAGGCACCCCCAAATAAGCTATGAATATACCTCAACACAAGTTCTTAAATGTATTTGAAACATGGAGCCGGGTTTTTGCAACCAACTTATGTGGTTCTTGACTGTTAACTTTGTGGATGACAATGCCATGTCACAGTGTCAAAATATTGAACATACACCTATGTGAGTAACTTAGGCTAAGAGGTGCCCAGCATGAAGTGCCAAGAGGAGACAGGAGCAAACTGCGGTGGTCTAGAGACTGTGAGATCACAGTGTGTACAGTCAACTCTCTGCAAAGAAGAAAAGCAAAGAGGAAGCTGTGATGCTGGTACTGAGGGAGCATGGAAAGAAAGATGTTCTCCGAAGTCAGTCATGGCTGGCAGGAGAGGGGTAGAGTGGTAAAAATGGCCTAAGGGTCCTGCTTGCACTTGGACATTGCATAGGACCAAGGGTCTTCACTGTGGTGTCTAGGAGTACATTTTTATCTGCTCCTTTCAATCCTGTCCATATCTTGGACCAAATGCCTGTCACATAAGCTTATCCTGTGCTACAGAGAACTCTACTGGTTATTGCTGCAGACTACACAAACCTGGAAAGGAAAAAAAAGGAAACAAAGATATGTATTCTTTCTCATCTCCTGCTTTCTTTTTATCTGAAAGGAAGTGGCCGAACCACTTTTGGACCTGAAGGAAGGAATAGACCAGTTGGAGAACAATAAGACTCTGGGCTTCATCCTGTCCACTCTCCTCGCCATTGGGAACTTTTTAAATGGAACTAATGTAAGATTTCCCAGTCCCTTACTCCTTGGCTCACTTTATCACAAAGTCTCTGCTGTCATTACCAATGGATCTGTACCCTTGATTCCCTAAACCACAGTGCAACAATCAGATTTTGTGTCTTTTTGCTGAAAATTCAAAGCTTTTGGACCTTGAAATATCAGGGCCCATTCACTTGAATATGAACTCTTCTATAAGAAGACTTGAAAAATAAGTACATGGTCCTTACAGAGTGTGACTACTCTAAAAAAATTAACATCAGAGGATTCTCATACAGATAGATTCTTTTTTCTCTAAGCTTATCACTCAAATATTTAGGCTTATATATATTCCAGTATTCTTTTAAAGATTCATTTTATTTTGCATTGTGTGTGTGTGTGTGCATGCACACATGAGTGCATATGATCATGGAAACAAGAGGCTTTGGATGCCTTGGAGCTAGAATTATCAGTGAAGTGAGCTATCCAATGTAGGTGCTGTGATCCAACTGGTCCTCTGCAAAAGCTCTATGTCCTCTTAACCACTATAAGCCTATTTTTCAGGCCTGATAATCTTTTTTAAAAGAAAACTTATTGGTTGCTGCTCTTGGCCTGACTCTGGTCAGAAAGAAGACATCCAATAGTAGTCAGAGGAGAAAGAAGCTGTTGGTTTCCAGGTGTCAGTGACCTGTCAGAACCCTGGGAGGTGGTTCAGGGATGTGGTGGGTGTAGCTGCTCCAGTTTGAACAGCAGAGGAAGGGATGTGTATCTCTCTGGCTGTGGAGAGATTAAACACTGGGCTGCATTGATTCTAACCATCTGCGCTGTTGGAAGAACCCACACAATACTTGTTTTTTATTTTCATGCCTTTATTCAATGTCACCAAACAGGCCAAAGCGTTTGAGTTAAGCTACCTCGAGAAAGTTCCAGAAGTCAAAGATACAGTGCACAAGCAGTCACTTCTCCATCACGTGTGCACCATGGTAGTGGAAAACTTTCCAGACCTGTACTCAGAGATCGGGGCCATCACCAGGTCAGCCAAGGTATGTTCATGAATTTGGAGGATCTGGCCTCATGGGCCTCACTGTTGGGTCTTCTGCGTCATCTCAGAGGCATACAGCCTCTGTTAGTGAGCCATTTGGTGCAGCCTGCTCTGGAGTTCACAACTATGATTCATTTCATGCCATTTCTAATGAACTTTTAAGATCTTTTTCCTATCTCTGGTTCTTGGTCAGATTCTTTCCTACTGAGGTATGCGGGGCAAGCTTGCCATGCAAGCCTCACTCCTGTGTCCACTGGTGAGCGTGTTACTTTCCAGACTATTCTATCCAATGTTGCAAATCCTCATCCTGCTTTAGGTAGGCATATCAAGGGCAAGAATATCAAAAAGATGTCACCTGGTTCCTCCTGAGATGCCATCGTACCTAGGATGAGATCTGGAGCCAGAAACCCGAGTATGCCTGGCCCCAATGCTCAGAGATTGGCCGTTCCAATGATCTTACACACAGGGAACATTTTTATAGGGCTATAAACAGTATATGGCTTTGGACCCTCAGCTGCAGGCTCTTAAAAGTACAGAGTTAATATCTTTGTGAGCACATGGTTGGTTAGGGAAGAGACCATTGCAGTAGGTGGTCACTTTTCTTCCTGCAAGGTAGAGAGACCATTGAGGCAGAGCAATATCTAGAGGAACCCCAAATACAACAGAACTGTAAAGGCTATGGAGGCACTGGAAGCTGGGCCACTGGAGAGGAAACTCCTGGAAATATAGTGAGCTTGGAAGTGTGAGTATTCAGATAACTGGAGTTGAGGATGAGGTGTGGCTGGAGAGCTCAGTGGCCTGTAGAGTCAGGGTTACAGAGGTCTTGGAGGAGCTCTCTTCTCTGTCATCACCCTGTGGCCGAGCACATGACCTGGTAGCTGGAGTCTCCTTTACCTGCCACAGGAATTACAGTCTGGCAATCACCAGGTATACCTAGCAGGATCCCTCAGTTGGCTTCATAGTATACCCACCTTGAGGCAAAAAGAGGCAGAGCCAATGTTTTTCCAGCCCTGACAGAACTCACAGAGGGCTTCTTTGAATAGGGTCCCCTAATGGGGGATGCATGCCACACTGTTATGTGGTAGGCACCAGGCTGTGATCTTTACATATGCAGAGTGTCCTAAGCAATGCAGATGGT